TACAAGGGAAAATGGTGGATTTGGGGGAGGACAGAAGGAGAAATCCCTGAGCCTAAGGAACTGTATAATGAAAAATAAAGATTAAAAAAAATGTGTAGGTCAAAGGAAAAATAATCACTTTTATCTTCTAAGTTAAAGGGGGCCTTTTGTAGCTACTTTATGTATTGACAGTAACTATAACATAGCAAGTCATTTGCTTTGCATTTGATAGAGTTTCACACTGTGGTGAATATATGCTGATTCATGGAAAGCGGCAGCAGTAGCAGTAGCATTAATGATGATGATGATGATGATGGGTGTGGTGCTATTTAATGCTTCAAATATGCCAGGTACCTTTGTGGTTTTTTTCCTGATTCTCATAATCACTGCTCTAGGCAGATATTATTAATATTTTCATTTCACAAAGTGAATACTAGACATGGAGAAGATAATCCACTTTCCCATATGCCACTTCATTTCTTTTTATTTTTCCTTTTTATTTCGTTTTATGACACAGTTTCATAGGCTCTGGGGTTCCATGAACGCCTGACCATGCCCTCCCCCCGTGTTGGATTCCTCCACATTGTTGTAGTAGTATAGTTCATATCCAGTCATGATTCTTTTCATTGCGAGCATGTACCATGCATAGAGACCAGCATCTAGTTGTCCAGATAAATTCAGCAGTTTCATTGGGAGACCATCCCTGGTCTGAAAGTAGAGCTGGCAGAATCTCATCCCCTCCAATAAAAAGCCACAGCACAACATCAACAACAATTTACAACATCATGGAGTTAGTTGACATGGTATTGAGTGACCAATATGTTAGAAAGTGCAAGTTCTTAACCACATCCTGTGACTACTTCATTGACATTTCAACTTTAGTTTATACACAACCGGCTGCTATACACCTTAAAATGGTTATAGGATACTATTCAGCTGTCTCATGTCTATTTTCATTGTTATATTTAGCAGCTTGAGTCCAAACCAGCAGGCTCATTCTGTCACCAAACTTTTACGTATTCTTTTCCTTCCTATCCGCTTTTCTCCCACCTAGTACCAAAATTCCTAAAAAGACGTCTTACCAATAAGAATGAGAAAGAGCAATAGAAAAGAATTAAAATAGAAGAAAATGTAGTACTCAAAATTTGTGAAATTGCTTCAGATTCTCTGCCTAAAACACGGTATATAAATGACAAGGAATGAGTGCAGCAGCATATTACATTTGAATATGAAATATGTCTTTCCCAGTTAAGGACACAATATTTATGGCATTTAGTATTTTATAGCCTTCATAGAAAATACAGGCACTTTTACCTCTCAAAGTCATCTTTTGTTGTAGGCTTTTGCTTGCTGTATTTTAAATTTCGTCACACGCCACGATCACCACACAAGCAATTCCCTATAGTCTATTCCATTGTAAATGGAATACAGCAAGAAAAAAAGAGTGTTGTGAAGTCTATTCTATTTTTAAATTTACACTCCTTCTGAGGTCTGGAGTTTTCCCAATAGTAAATTTCATAGTGGTAGGCAAAGCTGGTCAAGGTCATGGTTCCTAGTACCAATGACACATGGCTAATGCCCGAGGTTGTCGACATATTACCTGAGGAGGATGGGGCAGCAGTGTGTTGCAGTGAATGTCTTTAAGAAGGGAGGAAAGAAAACTGATTTACAACCTTTGTGTTTGTAGATAAGGGTCTTAGTGCTCTCACCATTAGTGAAGGTCAGTAGGAGTTTCTCTTCTTAATCCTATATCCTCATAAAACCCAGGCAGTATTCAGGCAAGGGAAGCACTCAGTCAAGATAGAGTTAAGTGTCAAAATCTGAGCTTTTTCTTTTTGTTGTTGTTGTGAATACAATTTTCGAAAAAAAAAATATGGCTTGTATATTTTTGCCTTTGAGCCATTAAAATTTATTGAGAAGCTCTGGTTTGAAGGCAAACCTCATTCTTTTACCTATTTTGCTTATGAATTTTCCAATTTAGCTTGTGAGCTGCAGTCAGATTTTGGAAAATTGAAGTGTACATGACAACTTACATTTCTGGCTTTTAAAAAATTATCTCTACATTATGTTTTAGACTCAGTGGTATATTCTGCACCTTAAAACCTTTTAACATCTTTGGGGCCCGTGTGTTGGCTCCGTTGGATGCACCTTCAAGAGATGCATCCCTTATGGGAACCGTTCATGTCACAGCTGCTCCACTTCTGATCCAATCCCTGTTTGTGGCCACTGTGGCAAGGCAGTAGAGGATGGTTCAATGCCTTGAGACCTTGAAGCTGGGTGGGAGACCTACAACACTCTCCAAGCAGTCCTGGCTTCAGGTTTTTTCAGCCAGGTGAAACAGTAGATGGGGAATCTCTGTCTCTACTGCTCTCTGTAAATCTGCCTTTCCAATAAAAATAAACAAGTTTTAACAGCTTGATTCATGCATAATTGGTATATCAACACCACATATGCTTAAGACATACAATTTTGATGAGTTTAAACATATGCATGCACTTCTGAAACCATTCAGAAGACTATATACATTTTCTTTTAGTTTATAATGGTTTGAAATGTCCTTTCTCTTTGAGGTTTTATTTACAATTATGTATGAAAGGATGAATCATCATAAAGGGGAGAGATTGATCGATTTTTCCATCCACTGGTTTGTTCCCAAATGATCAAGAGACAGGAATTAAATCTGAGTCTCCCACATGTGTGTCAGAACTGGGAGGTAGTGGGAGTGATTCAGATGGTACTTGATCCATGTGGCAGAGCTGAATTCAGTTTCAGGCTCCTAACTTCAACCCCAGTCCAACCCAATAGGCATTCGAAGTGTGAACCAGCAAATAGAAGGTGAATCTCCCTCTCCCCATCCCTTTACATCCTTTTCCCTCACTGTTTACCTCCCAAATAAGTAATTTTTGAAAAAAATATGGTATTGTTAAAAATTGGGTTTGGGGAAGAATGTGATTGCAAACTACTTATTTAGCAAAAAGAATTACTATCCAGAATATAACAGCAACTCAAAAAACACAACACCATAAAAAAAACTACCAGTCCAGTAAAGAAATGGGCAAAGGACCTGAACAGATAGTTTTCAAAAGAAGAAATGCAAGTGACAAACAGATATATGGGAAAAGTTCAATATCACTAGCCATCAGGGAAATTGAAATTAAGACAGTTATGAGGTATCGCCTCACCAGCATCAGAATGGTTATTACCAAAAAGAAAGCAACAACTGCTAGCAAAGTTGTGAAGACAGTAAAACTCTTCTACCCTGTTGGTGGTAAGGTAAATTAGTGTACAAACTGTGAGAAAGAGTATGGAGATTAAAAAAAGAACAGGGATGGAAGTGATGTATAAACCAGGTTATCTCAGTACTAGGGATATACCCAAAAGCCTCACTGTATTGGAGATACCCGTTATACCATAATTATAGCAGCATTTCACAATGGGCAAAATACTACATCAACCACTATGGCCATTATAAAACGAATGGATAAAGAATACATAGAAGATATACCCAACGAATACTATTTGGCAGATTTTTTTTGTTTTTAAATGAAGTCCTGTCACTTGAAGCAGAATGCGTGGAACTGCAGGACATGCTGGCTGAAATAAGGCACACATAGAAAGACAAATACTGTGCATTATCCCTAATATGTGGAAACTAAAATTACAAAAAAAAGCAAGCAAACAAAAAAACAACTTCAGTCTGAGCGTAGAATATCGATTACTGCATGCTGAACAAAGAACAGGGTATTCTGAGTGTGATCCATTAATGGTGACAAACATGCACGTGAGATGTAAAGGGGAAATGGAATAAGGGGAATAGGAATGCCGCCAACATACCATCATATAAGTTTTATTTTGTAAATTTAAAATGTGTAAAACATTGTGGGACCTTTTTGTATGAAAGATACGTGGTTTTACAAGGATTACTGTGCAAATTTACTACATATCAGGCTACCCACTTGGTTAATCTATTAAGCTGTTATAATGTCCTCTCATTAAATATTGAAGTTATTACTCCATTTATTTTTACCATTTAAGGCCATGATACTTGTTATTCCTATAGGTATCATATTTTTAATATTTTAAGATGAAGTGTGAAAGGTGAGATTACTGGCAAAAACAGAATAAGCACTTGTACGTCGATTGTATCTATTGCCAAATTATCGTAATGGAAAGTGATCCCAGAAGCAGTACACATGTGTATGTGCACATTTCATCAGTCTTTCCAGCTTTGCATTTCGTTTTATGTTAGCTCATTGTTATCACATTGTACCCTGCTGATTTCATACTCTGTTTTCTTTGTATATGTGAGTTTTTAACTTTTTTATATATATAAAATCATTGCATTATTTTTTCTTGTGTAAAATGCTTGCTCTCGCTCCTTTGTCCATTTCTCGATGGCTTAACCATCCAATGTTATCATTTTTGAAAAGGTAAATGTGATTTGGGTTAGCAATATAATTCTGTCTTTAGTTTTATTCTAATTTTAAATTAAGATATTTTTAAAGTATTATAATTCTTCAAAAAAGTTCATATCTAGCATGGCACCATAGTTCTTTTGTTGTTCATTGTTTTCTATATGCAAGTTTAGTTGAATGCCAGTAGATGGCACTAATTACATAAACAATTCAGTAGGTTAATGAAGAGGGAAACAAATGCATGTGGTTTTTTTCTAATGTTCCAATTTTGTTATATGTCAGACACTTGACAATTACATAAGACTTTACATTCACAGCTTTCCTGTGATAAAAGTATTAAGCCCAATTTGTTTCCAATGAATTATTATGAATCAAAATACATAATACTTGGTATTGCTTAAGATGTTACATTTGGCATATTTGATCATGAAAAATGAGTTTACTTAGGTTGTCATAATTAATGAAATAACATGGTACAGTAGAAGCAATTGTGTAGGCAAACTCTGCCTTTAGAGTTTAAAAGCACTTTATTTAAAGCATTTAAAGAAACTATGGACTTCAGAAAAAAAAACAGATATTAATTCTCTCTTCCATATACATTTCTAGCAATTGTCCAAAGATCTCCGCCAGTGGCAGATAAATGTAGATGTGGCTAATGACTTAGCACTGAAGCTTCTAAGAGATTATTCTGCAGATGATACCAGAAAAGTGCACATGACCACAGAGAACATCAATGCCTCCTGGGGAAGCATTCAGAAAAGGTAGGAACTATATTATTTCTACGACTATTCCTTACTGTACTGATGGAGTGGCAATGTTGGATGAACATTCATTTCAGATTTACCCAATCCTGCTAACCTGGGATTTGGGAAGATGCACAATGACAAATTTCAACTAAGCTTACAGATTTGGCTCAACCTCTTATTTTTGGTGGTGAAGGGCCTGAGGTATGGTCCAATTGATCTGTGCAGTTAAGGTGGTAACATAACCAAGACATTGGAAAAAAACAAAATATGTGGTTGTGTCTGGAATAGACATGTATCTTCTTTGAGAAATCTATCCAAAGAAATGTCTTTCCATCCTATCATGACACAATTTGCCCTATCTTTGACCTGACAAAAAAGTTACCATACATTTCATGGTGGAGTTATAGTTGTCCATGGTATAATCGTTGTACCTTACTGTATACATGCAAAGGAAAAATTTTTCCCAAGCAGAAAATTCCTGAAGGGCAATAAAACTCAAAATTTCATTTCCTATTATGTATCTATGGAAATTGAAAGCTCTAAGAGATACTATACTCTCAAACTAGGTTCAGTTTCCTTATTATCCATGCTGTGTATGACCCATAACTCTTTGTACTTTTCTTTCATTAGTACTTATTATAAGTAAAAACATGAATTATGTAACTAATGGCTTAACATTTGTCCTCCAAATTTTTGTAAACTTCCTGTGGGCAGAGACTGTATCTTTCTCATTTGATGTATTCCCCAGCTGATGCAGCGTGTAATTTGGGAGGTTGCTGGTAAATATTTGTTAAATGCTAACCTTCCCCTTTGAAAATGTAGCATTGCTTTGTCCATGCTGTGGCTCGATAAGGCTCATTAAGTATTTAGAGTTGTGTCAGAAAAGAGAAGTAAAAATAATACCTGTACAAGAGTGAAAAAGACTACAATGCAAAGTGAGTTCCAGAAATGACACCAACTACTGGGGATGTCAAAATAGTCTTTATTGATGAGAAAAGGCCACAACTGAGAGAGGAAATAGATTTTACAAAGAGAAAGTCTGAAATCTTAAGAGTAATGAGTTGTTGCCATATGGAAATTAAGAAACCACTTAATTCTTGAAACTGAACTACAGGTTAAAGACTGAAAACTCTTGAAATTGAACTACAGGTTAAAGACTGAAAACTGTGGTGAGACATGATTTAAGCTGGTGACCATGGAGAACAGTGCTGTTCGAGTTTTGAATTCTAGAAAGCAGGTTCAGATAACCATGACACAGAAGATTGAATACCTAAATCAAAAGTTGGAGAGTTCTGTTTGTGAACCTATCAAAAAAAAAAAAAATCCTGGTGGACAGATGTGGAACTTAATACAAATTTATACTTAGAGAAAAAGGAGAAAAAGTACTTATTGCCTTCTCTCAGGGACAAAGTTTGAGCTTTCTTCCCCAAATACAGCTCATGTATCTATTTAGTTAAACACATGTATATTTGGTTTGGGATTAGGTTTGGGAACTGTCATACATATGTTTGTTATTAGAAAGTGTCACAAAGTCCGTCAATAGATTTCAGTGGGAAACATTAACTTATCAAACAGAATCCTCTTTCCCTTTGAAAATGCAAACTAAGATCAGAGACTAGGACCAGCACTGTATCTCAGTGGATTCTCTGTCCTTGATGCTGCCATCCATAAAACACTGAATCCTTCTTACTACACTTGATCCGTAGACTATCAACAAATGAGAAGTATATAGCTCCTTTTGAAATGAGTAAACTTAGGAAATTAGAAGCTAACTTTGTTATTTAGTTGGCCAAGAAGAAAGTTCACTTCACCAAGCCACCTTTAATGTTGCTGGCAGGGTTCTTCCTTGTTCTTTTCTCACTAAACATGCTCTTTACACAAGTTCATCCACTTGCATAAACTCAGCTGTTAATGACCAACCAGTGTAGAATGGTCTCTTTGATTGTACATGTCTGTATATTACTGCTTTCTTTCCATTTTAATGTTCCACAAGAACTTCAAGTTGACTATGTCCAAAGCTCATGTCATGTTTGCTCTCTTCTAATCTCCCTGTTGAAATGCAACTGATTTCTCCTCATATGCTCGCTATCTGCTGAATAGGACCATACCTCATAAAGTTGTTCAATCTAGAAAACAGCCATGCTTGACTTTTTTTTTCTACAACTCATACAGCTAAACTATCACAACATCATTGATTCCCTAAAATGGATTACAAATCTAGTCACTTCTCTTTACCCCTGTTCTTTACCATGCCTTGCCTGAATTCTCTAATTGGTTTCCCTTTTTAGACTTTTCTACACTGCACTCGTTCTCTAAATAGATTTTAGAAATATCATCCTGAATATAGTGTATGCACGTATTCCAATAGCACACCTCCTCCCATTTGTAAAGCTGTTAATAGCTTATCCATTGCTTTTTTAAAGGCAATGTATTCTTTCAGTGGCTCTATGGTATTGCTTGATTTTGGCTTGTCCTTGGGACTCCAGGCTGATTTCCTGTTCTTCCTGAATCCACTACTTCAGTTCTCTCACAGGCAATAAAATCACGTTGAGATATTTTCATTTCTCTTTACCTTCATTCTGACTTCTGTTGTCTGCTGACCTGGTGCATAAAATTCCCTCCTCTTTTCTTTCTTTGAGTCATTATTCAGATCTCAGTGTAAATGCCAGTTCCTCCAGGAAGACTTCTCTGTCAAACTCCAGAATTCACACTTGTTTGGTCTTCTAATATAGTGCTTATCTCAGTACACTGTACCCAAGTATTGACCGACCTTGATTTTCTTCAAGAATGTAAATTGTGTAAGGGCACGCACATTGTGGCTTGCCCACAAATTGTACTGCTGAGCCCTTAGATTGAAATGTACTATAAGCTTTTATGATTAACTAGGCAAGTGAAAGAATTAAGTATGTTTGTCCTGGTATGTCAATGATCGAACATAGAAAGGAAAAAACAGTATGCATTGGGATTGGCTTTCACTTTGAAGTAATAAAAACTACCGTAGCTTTTCAAACAAAGGTGTATTTGTCTCACACAATGAGAAGTTCACAGATGTGCAGTGGCCAAGCAATGTCATCCCTGAAATTTACGCATTCCTCTTGGCATTTCCCTCAGAATTTACATTCCAGCAGGAAGAAGAAGGAGAGAAACAATGCTTTTATTAAGAAAGCAATGGTTTCCTCAGGAATCTGAGAGCCAGAACTTCATAATGTGGTCATCTCTGCTGCCTAAGAATTGAGGTTGAGCCAACCAGTAAAAATGTCTCCCACAAAGGAAGTGAACAGAATTAAATAGAAATCTAATATACAGTAGCCTCAGCTATGTGAAGCTCCCTAAATAAATACCTGTCAGAAAACTGAATGGTGGAATGAATTTATAGCAACCATGGTCTATTTGGGCTTGCTAGCGCTTCTGCCCAGAGAGGACATAGGAAAACTGGACTCTATTGGCTAATGGTATTTTTCATTAACATCCGCATTCTATGTATGCTTTTCATGTCTACTGTTTACACCTAGCCAAATCCGACTTCATCTCTGCTTCTTTTACTCTCCGTTCTTATAAAGAACAAGAGGACTCTATGTAATCTTTCATGTTTTGATCTGTTTGTGTAATACCTTGACCAGCAATAGTCTCTGCTATTTGAATTTAGATGAACTGTAATTTAAGTTAAAAAAATAAATTCACTTGCTCCTGTCTTATTAGCCATCTTTGAAGTGTTAATGAGCCATGTGAAAATAGTGAGTACCCAGTTCGATAGTATAAAGTGAAACATTTTTATCATCACAGAAGTTTTTATTGTTAGTCCTGCTTTGGGTTACCTTTATGTTTGCCTAAACAGTTAGGATTCATTTATAATCATTATGTTCTGTTTTACTTTTGAAGATATTGCCACATTTTGTAACTAAAAATTGTTTTCTTTATGCAGTGGTTCATATTATTGCATTTTCTTGGTCTTACTCTCATTCTTGCACTTACTCATTTTTTAGTATTGGTGTTTAAAAATTCAAAACTGTGGTGATGGCAAGATGGTACCTTTAATTTTGTTGCCATTCCTATAAAATCATCTTTGAATGACATGATCAATAATATTGACATTTGAATTTTTGGGAAAAAGAGACATATTTCTGAAAATATTCTGACACTGACTTTTTAAACAGGAGAGATTATGGAAACCATGTTGATTTCAACATTTCTCAGAGTTCACACGACATACTGTTAGATTACTGAGCACTAATTATTGACTGCACTGAAACTTCCAATATATAGATAAATCTATCCACTTTTTATATGTGTGGAAGCCTATTTAAAGCAGTAACATTTTCAATTTAGGTTTTAATGTTTGAGTGTTAAATAAGATACAAAAATGAAACTTAAAGAAACTTTAGTGCCACACCTGGGCAAGATACAGCTTCAAGATACAGTTAGTAAAAAAGGAACTGGTGTCGTATTCTGTTAGTACTTCATTTATTAATAGATTGATGAGCCTCATTTTCCACCCTTGCTGTTGCTCAGAACTTTAAAAAATTTCTATTTTCAAATTCAAGACCAATATAGACATTTGTGCTTAAGAGGACTTAATCTATTCATGCAGATGATGCTTGTCAAATTCTGCAACTTAGAATAAGATCAGAATATAAATCATCACTTTGACCTATGTAAAAAAAAAAAAGATTTGTTCTTTATCATGTTATTGGAGAGTCCATGTTAGCATATAAAGTCCAGAAGTAGGTGCCTCTGCAAGTTCATTTCTCTCTCATCAGTCTCTGAGAATAGATACGAATTTGTGAATAAGATAATATTAGATGTGATATCACAAATTATTGTGAGAAGGCTCTAAGGATTCGATTTCAAGGATTGCCATCTGGCTGATGACTTTATGATGACACTATCAGGATATTTCATTTCCCTGTTTCTATTCCAGGGTCACTCTTTAAACAAGAATTGAACATTAACTCTGAATTGTCTGTCTAGCTATATGAGAGCTTCCACTAGTACCAACCAGCCAGGTGCAGGCTCAT